TTTTGGCTTCCAAGTGTGCTTCGCGCCACAACGGCGTGCACTTTTTCGACATCTCAACTTCCAAAAGTGGTCCGAACCTGGTGTGTTTTGTACATTTTGACTTGGAAATGTGCTTCGCGCAACAACGGCGTGCACTTTTTCGACATCTCAACTTCCAAAAGTGGTCCGAACCTGGTGTGTTTTGTACATTTTGACTTGGAAATGTGCTTCGCGCCACAACGGCGTGCACTTTTTCGACATCTCAACTTCCAAAAGTGGTCCGAACCCCTGGTGTTTTGTACATTTTGACTTGGAAATGTGCTTCGCGCCACAACGGCGTGCAATTTTGCATCGCTCCTGTGGCCAGCTGGCTCCGCACCCGCCGCTTTAGCGAGCCTACTTTTTCAGTGCAGCGGGAAAGCGTGACTTCAGGTTGAGGTTGCGCTGTTTGCGCCGGGTGCGCCGGGTGCGCCTGGTGCGCCGGGTGCGCCGCGTGCGTGGGGTGCGCCAAGTGCGCTGGGTGCGTCGGGTGCGCCGGGTGCGTCGGGTGCGTAGGGTGCGCCGGGTGCGCCGGGTGCGCCGGGTGCGCTGGGTGCGCTGGGTGCGCTGGGTGCGCTGGATGCGCGGGTTGCGCTGGGTTCGCTGGGTGCCCTGGGCTTGGGTGGGTGCCCTGGGTGCGCGGGTTGGATTGCGCGCTGTGTGCGCTGGGTGCGCTGGGTGCCCTGGGTGCGCTGGGTGCCCTGGGTGCGCTGGATGGGGTGTGCTGGATGGGGTGTGCTGGGTGCGCTGGGTGCGCTGGGTGCGCTGGGTGGGTGCGCTCAATTGGCTGAGTGTGTGGGAGGGTGTGGGCGCAGGTGCAAGCGAACATTTTGTAATGTAGCGTGGGGTTCCAATGCAAATTTGAACAGAATGGAGCAAAGCATCAACTCTGCGTGGAGGAAGGTGTACGTAATACGGTAATCAAGCATGCGTGCTACGTGGACAGCCTGCAGCGTACCATCAAGAACATGCAAAAGAGCAAGTCAACATTCTGTATGCTTACACGGCGGCAAGGATGTGTGCAAGTTAAAGCGAACATTCTACAATGTAGAGGCCCCCCCGTGCAAGTGCAGGTGTACATTCTACAGCGTAGCATCAAGGCTGCCTCTAAGATAATGTTCGGTTTACAAACACAAATATTATGATTCTTGAGGCTGTTCTCTGACAGCGCAAGTAAGATTCTAAATTACTTTACTTCGAGTTATCCCCACCATGACATCTATACGTTTTGTTACTGGCAAATCTTCTGGCATTCTATCTGACATATCTTCTGGGATTTTATCTGGCATATCTTGTGGCATTCTATCTGGCATATCTTCTGGCATTCTACCTGGCATATCTTCTGGCATATGTTCTGGCATATCTTCTGGCATTCCATCTGGCATTCTATCTGGCATATCTTCTGGCATACTATCTGGCAAATCTTCTGGCATTCTATCTGACATTTTATCTGGCGTTCTCTCTGGCATACCTTCTGGCATTCTATCTGGCATATCTTCTAACATTTATCTGGCATATCTTCTGGCATTCTCTCTGGCATATCTCATCGCATTTTATCTGGCATATCTTTTGGCATTCTATCTGACATTCTATCTGGCATATCTTCTGGCATTCTATCTGGCCGTTGAGGTCCAGCGGTGCACACTGAGCTGGGAAGCTCCCAGGTTGAGGTCTGAGCTGGGAAGCTCCCAGGTTGAGGTCCACCGGCGCACACTGAGCTGGGAAGCTCCCAGGTTGAGGTCCAGCGGTGCACACTGAGCTGGGAAGCTCGCAGGTTGAGGTCCAGCGGTGCGCACTGAGCTGGGAAGTTGGCGAAGAGCTTGGCGAAGAGTTGGCAAGGCGGAAGTTGAGGTGGAAGTTGATGCAGACATGGTCGAGGAGAAACTGGTGGAGGAGGCGAGGAGGAGGAGGCGAGGAGGAGGAGAGGCGAGGAGGAGGAGGAGGAGGAGGAGGAGGATGGCGAGGAAGAGGAGGACAACAACTCTGATAAAATCTAACAACCCTCACCTGGCAGGTGGGGAAAAACTCTAAACTATAGCAAACAAGTGCACAATAATTTGTTCAAGATGGTCCGAGTTTCTTTTGACAATGTTTAAGCGATGGGAAAAAAAACGTGATTTGTGGATAGACATGAAAGATAGAAAGACAAAAAAGGCAGACAGGTAGAAAGATAGAAATACAGAACGACTAAACAACTTGAGAGGTAGAAAAAACATGGAGATAGAACGATAGAAAGAAAATCGACAGCGAAAGAACAATAGCTAGATAGATTTAAATTACTTTACTTCGAGTGATCCGCACCATGGCATTTCAAGACATACATTTGGACATATTTTCTGACATTTTGGCTAAGATTCTACCTGGCATCTATTCTGACATTCTGTTGGGCATTCTATCTGACATATATTTCGACTTTCACTTTGAACAAAGAGAAGCTCAATACGATATATTAAAACCGAAGAGGTAGATAAGTAATTATATACGAAAGAAAGGTCTAGATTGACACATAGGTAGGCAGATCGATAGGTAGATCGATAGATAGACAGATAGATAGATAGATAGATAGATCGGTAGGTTGAGAATTAGATAGATAGAATAAAACAAATGAATAGATAGATAGAAGGAACAGATAGATTGATAGTTAGATAGATAGAATGAACAGATAGAATGAATAGATAGAATAAATACACAGATAGAATGGATGGATAGAAAGAATGAAAAGATAGAATGAATAGATAGAGAACAGATACAGTACAACGGTAGAAAGACATTAATTAGATAGAGAACAGATACAGATACAGAGATAGAGAATAGAATGAATAAAAGACATTAATTAGATAGAGAACAGATAGAAAGACAAACAACTAGGAACAACGGTAGATACAGTACATGCATGCATGCATACATGCATAGATAGATAGATAGATAGATAGATAGATAGATAGACAGATAGATAGATAGACAGATAGATAGATAGGTAGGAAGATAGGTAGGTAGGTAGGTAGGTAGGTAGATAGATAAAGGCTTAAACACCTGAAAGTCTACTCGGTGCACTCGGTGCGCTCCAAGTGTACTCCGTGCACTCGGTGCACTCGGTGCGCTGCAGGTGTACTTGGTGCACTCGGTGCGCTGTAAGTGCACTCCGTGTACTCGGTGCACTCGGTGCGCTGCAAGTGGACTCGGTGCACCCTGTGCACTCGGTGCACTCGGTGCGCTGCAAGTGCACTCGGTGCACTCGGTGCACTCGGTGCGCTGCAAGTGTACTCGGTGTACTCGGTGCACTCAGTGCGCTGCAAGTGTACTCGGTGCACTCGGTGCGGTACACTCGGTGCACTCGGTGCACTCGGTGTACTCGGTGCACTCGGTGCACTCGGTGCACTCGGTGCGCGCACTGTGCGCAGTCACTGATCGCGGCCGCGATGTACTTTTTGACCCTCCGGCGCCACAAATCATTGGAAAAACACAGTGTTTCGCGACTTTCCTACCTTTTCGCGCATCTGTAGCGTCTGTCCTCTTACTCTTTCTCTTCTCTTCTCTCTTCTAATCTTCCTCTTCTCTGTGCCTCTGCCCTGCTCTGCTTTTCATCTCTCCATATTGTCGGAAGTTTGACTTCTAAACTTCCTTCGATTAATAATGAAAAAGTTTTCACAGTCACTAAGCGGTATGTTGAAGGTAAATGCGAAACACCAAAGGCATGTTCATGGTATATGAAATTGTATACTGCAAGTATATGACATGGTAAATAAAAAATATACACATATATCAAAAATACTTCAAAAGGAATATCATCGGATATGAAAGATATATGAAAGGTATGAATAAGCCGAGGTATTCTCATATTTTGTTAAATGGTATGCTAAAGGTATATGAAGTGGTATTTAGGGTATAGGTATTGAAGGTGTCTTCATGGTTTACCAAAAGTATTTTCAAGGTCAAGTAAATGACATATCAGAAGTAGATTCTTGGAATATCAAATGGTATACTAAAGGCATTTCAAATTGCACATGAAAGGCAAATCACAGGTGTATTAGATGGCATTTAAAAAGTGTGCCAAAGGAATATATGTAAGGTATGTTAAAGGCATGTTAAAGGCAAGAACATAGCCAATAAAAATGTGTTTACAGGTATGCTAAGGAAATATTGCATGGCAAGTAAAAAAAGAGCATTCAATAATACAAACAAGCATTACTATGAAGTAGAACCCTTGGGCCTATGTAGTATTTGTTGAAAGAGACAGGTCATGGTTGTATGTGTGCAATATGCCCTTCCATATGAGTGAAACATTTGGGCAAAAGAGGCAACACTATTTTGAAGAAGTGAACTCTTTCCTTCAATACAAATGCCATACAGAAAACATGAAAGGGAGGCTGAACTGCAGTAAAGGGCGTGTTGTATCTTTCCACATACTGATTTATTGCTGCAAGAATACTGCTTCTTACTTAAGGGAATACCTTGTCTTTCTGGCAATTGCTTTGAAGAAGTGGAATCTTCCCCCGAGAAACAAGTGATAGAAGAAAGAGTGAGAGGAAGGCCAAGCTTCATTCAAGGACGTATTGCATTTGCGCACGCAGTAAAATTTCTTGCAAAAATATTGCTTATTTAGGGGAGTATCTTGTCTTCAAGGCAGGGTGCAACTTGTAAGCAGCATTTTCCTTTAACAACCGTCTTTTCTTTTTCCAGGGGGTGCGACATGTTTCAGATGCAAGTTACTGGCTACAAGGCAGGTTTTTTTTTTGGGGGGGGCTAGCACAAAGAGATATACATATGGGGAAATCATTTTGACTAATCTTTTGTTTTGCCCCCGAACCCATCACTGGAACCCCCGCCTGTCGCCCAGCACTGGGCACCCTGCAGCTGCACAGTGCAGCAGCAGCTGCTGATCTGAGGCCCGGAGCAGCGGCCGCAGCAGCGCGAGCGTGGCCGCGGTGCCTGCGAGGTGGCCATAGGCCACTGGCCGCAGCACCGTCGAGGCTTCAAGGCCT